GCATTGGCAACAGCCGTAAGTCCTGTGTAACCGACCGACCGAACTGAACTGAACTGAAATGTATCGTTTTCAAGGTCATGAATTTCAGTTGCGTGGACGCGCTCAACGCAATGATGCGGTTGACGCCTTTCGCGGTCTTATACTATCTCATTATCTTGCTTGTATGTTTCGAAACATAGGTTCATATGGTGAATAATTCTTTAAAAATCATTTAGGTTAATGTCTACGCGGTGGATCGTAAAACCTGTCAAGTTTCAGGCTTCACGAAACAGTTGAAATGCTCATCATGCCACGAACTGAAGGCGTTCAACCTCACGAGTCTTGAGGAATCCTGCATGTCATGTTGTAAAGATGACGAGACTGCTAAACAGATTAAGGTAAGGTTGGCTGATTCACAAAATCATAAATTGATTCAGAAAAGCCCGTTTGTGGAGCTGATCGCATGCTCCTGATCCCTTGATCGATACCCTCAAGTTCTCGGTAAGTGAATAATAATCCATTGATTCCGTGATAATTTGTATAATGATGGACAAATTATTGTCATTAGCTCATATAGGGCGGTTTTACAGAAGTTGCTGCATTAATGCAACAGGTTTTAAGTGGTATAAATTTATAACCAATAGAAACGGCCTGTTATGACAATAAAATCCTTCCGCGCCATATTCCAAAGTTTGAATTTTCTGCCTCCCACAGAAGAGGTTATCTCCGGAAACAATACTAGATTTCGCACATATGCCGAAGCGGATTTTAATTTTTCTAAATTGATTTGCGACCGGAGATGAAATATCATCTTCGTCTACCGCAATAAGTAATAGTAGCAGTGGTAGTGGTATTAATAAGCAGTCGTCTCGTGTAAGCCTTCTCTCCACCTTATCCAAGGGGCTACCTACTTGTGAGCTAGTCACCCTTTTAACAGGAAATCGTCCGAACACATTTTGTCAGTGATCTCTTCCACCACTACGGGGATGATATTCCAAATATCGGTTACCCTCATAGATAGCAGATGAGCCAGCGGCAGTTCTTAAGATCACTGCTTCCCTAACGTTAGCCCGTGGTTTACAAATAAATCTTTTCAACTTTAAAAAAGGAAATTATTGTGTCTAACCACATCGACGTGTGCAAATAAGTGCAGTGAACGCTTATTGTATCAACAGCTTTTTGGTTGACGCATGTACGAAATCCCGATTGTTGGAAAGCTGACGGTGAACTTCTTTGGTGAGCAGCTGTAAGTGATTGAGAACTTTAAACACCTCGGGAGCTTGATCGCGGCTGATAGTGGTGTTTGGGTAAATCATATCACGAATAGCGAAAGCTAGAACAGCTTTTGCCAACCTGCGACACCCATGGCATCGCTATGACATCAGTAATTCCCTTTCTGGAAGGGCGCACATCTCCGCGGTTCTACTTTACGGTTGCGAGACCTAGCCCCTCCGCGTTGGGGATGCTGATTGACTTTCTGTATTCAACCACCGGTGTCTCCGAAGCATTGCATTATCGTTGGTTGGAGACAGAGATGTGGCCCAGAACAAGAATCACTGGCGCAAATACTGTACGATCTGCCTGTTGAAATCCCGTACCCCATAAACAACAATAAACNACAATAAACTAAAAGAAAAATATCAAAAGTGAAATAAACAAACTGATTGTTGTTCTCGTTATTCAGCCTCATTGTCTGACCCCCTTTTATTCTGCTTTGTATCCCAGCCCCTCATGTTATTCTTGTTATGTTAGCACCAGGCTTGCTCGCATGACGGTGGTATATATATATAATCCGAAACCCAAAACACCCACCTCCCGATCATACTGAGGCTTTCATAACTGAATTGTTCTGCGGCTTTCCCGTATTTTGTCTATTTTTGGAGTCCATGTGTAGCGGTTGCAGACCTACAGTGTAATATGTTCGAGAGTTACCACCATCTATGGTCTCCTTTGCATGGCAGCCGGTGTTAGTTCATTGGAACTTGTGCCCGTTTTTCGCATTTTTTCTGGCAAATTACATTCTCTTGATAAGCCTTCTGATTATAGATACTCGAGTTTATAACAGGGCAAACAGTCAGTGCCTTTGAGGGAATAATCAAATTTTTCTTAAGACCAACCAATCGTTATTCTTGTTACTGGCTGGACAATAACAAAGAACTTTGGATACGACGTGTAATCCAACGTCGCCTAGTGACGGGAGACCTTCAATTTCATCTTATGAAACCGTTAAACTCGCACTTTCGTGCGTTGTGCGCAAGCGTTACTGTTGACAGTCAGACGTCATTCAGTCTCCGGTAATTGATGACATTGATCCTGAGGTTCCCATCCAGGGAGCCTAACTCAACCAAGTTCCCTGGTCAGGGTTTTCATACTCTCATTCCATGTTTTAGTTTGACCACCTTTGATCTTCTCCCAAATTCTACCTGCTCGGTATACATCGCATGCCGTGGTAATCTATTTGGAAGTATGTATAGCACATGTTCCATCCAACGTAATATATGGACGTAAATTAGTTGCTCCATTGGGCGACTACCTAAAGTTCTGCACCTCATCTCGGCATTGCTTGTCTAGTTGCTCCATCACACTCGTACAATGCGCCGTAGACAGCGGTGTTTGAACGTCAATGGCCTATTTGCATCCTGTTCCTTTAACATTCAGCCCAACTTACGTAGCATATACTTGACCTTAAACAGAAAGAACGAATGTCACGGCAGCATCAAGTGTCTGAGGTTAGCAAACAAAACAAAAGGGAGTAAAAGTATACAATCGAAGGAACGCTACTAGC